TTGAACCCTGTGAGGCGGAGGTTGCAGTGAGCCGAGATTGTGCCACTCCCACTGCGGCCTGGGTGACAGAGCCAGACTCCGTCTCAAAAAAAAAAAAGTAGCAAATGAACATGAAGGGAACACTGGCAATATCAAAAAACCTGTGCTAGATCCTAAAATAATGCACCAAAGAACCAAAAGGCCTCAGTTGTACTTCCTGTCTTCTGTGTTCATTTGGTGTCTCTGATGAGATTTTTACTGCTGACTAGGGGCGGTCCCACTGTGTATCCTGACACCATTCCTTGGCCTTCTGACTTCCTGTGACTTAAAATATCCACAGGATTTCCAGTTTTCAGTTTTGAACTTAAAACACTGACACAGAAACCCAAAGGTGCTTATAGATAGTGTGGATATAATTTAAACCATAGAGTTGCGTGAGTCAGTACAAATGAAGAACAGGAAGTTTTCATACAGATTAGAAAACACTGGACGGTAATTAAACAGCAGCATTTTCCAGCCTGTCCACTTACACTGTGATCACTTTCATTCCTGTTTTCTTCAGTGTTTGAGACGTACAGGACACAGACCAGGTGTTTTAGTTAACAGAGAATATGAATACGACTGATCTCATAGGTAGATCAAAGACAGAATAGGGCCTAAAGGAGATTAGGGCCCAGAGTAGAGAGAAACTGAAATGTACAACTATTTTACGGTTTGCTTTGGTAAATGAAGTTTAGATTAAATCAGTACTGTAAATGAAAATATGTTTCTTTCTTAGTCCAATGAACATTTTTATTGCTATATAAAATGAGAATAGTGGAATTTGCACGTATATCTCCTTTCCTCTTTCTCTCAACTCCTTCAAAAGCCAGTAACTCTTCATCACCTGGGCATATACTTACAGCTTTAGTAAATGTCCTTGGGAATGAGCTCGGCTATCTGTGTCCTGTAGTAGCAGCCGACATTCTTTGTTCGAAAAAATACCTTGTTTTCATGTACAACATCCACTCAAAAGAGATTTGAATAGAGGTTATGGAAGAGACTAATAGGGTTACTTGCCAGCATAAGCAAGAAATACACGTTTTGATCTGAGATCCGTGATGGAAAACAGATCGTATACGTTTATTCCTTTGGCCTTTGTAATAGGACATTCCTGGCTGCAAACAGATGTATGCATTAAAACACACAATTTGGCATATTATCTGTGTGCAAATGCAGTTCAGCCTAGCACAGCCTAGGAGTTCCACAGCAGAACTGGAAATACAGTAGTGATTTTCTGTTCATTTTATTGCATTCATTCTCCATTTTCTTTTTCCTTTTTCTCTTGCAATTTTCAGAATTCAGCTATCAAATTGAAAATCCATCTATACTAGCTTCAGTGATTACAAACTAAAATATGGGTTATTCCACATCATTTTTTCAGACAAGACTTCTATCACTTATGTTGTAGGTGTTATATAATCTTTAATATTTTTAAGACCATTATACAATAATACCTATAACTGGACTGCTTAGAAATGTAGAACTATTAACATGGGAAATGAAAATTTTCTTACTTTAAGTTACATTCAATGAACTGATGTACCACATTTTTCTTAGAAAATGGTTTACAAATATTCGCTATGCCAGAACATACTGCCCTGTATTTATATTGTTTATAAATGCTAAGTTTAGGGGCATGGCGTTCTGTCTCACATTCCTTATGTACCGTCAGTACTTGTGTTCAAATGAATTACACTTTACGAAATTACTTTTTCACACTATAGTAGCCAACAAATAAGCAAAAGTAAATTTAAAACTCAATTTTGAGGCTTGATTTTAGTGAATCTTGTGTATTTACTCTTCATTTTAAGTATAAAATATTTCTTTTTAAGTCTTTCATTTGCTTTTCTAGTCTTTCATTTAGTCTTTTCTGGGAGTTGCTCCAAAAGGCAAGATGTTACAGGCGTTATCATTTTTAATAAAAGTAAGATTTCCTGAAATTTAAAAAATGCTTAAAAATGCCTCAGCTAAGGCAATCCCTTATTGCCTGTAATGCCTTTTACCTGATTATATTAGTCATTTTAGTTTTTTAAAAGACATTTTGTTGTTGTGTAATTGCAAAGAAAGATCTTTTTATTACCATAGCAATATCTTGATTGCAGTGTTTGAACTGGAGATATCTTTTCATTAAATTTATCATTTGCCTCTAGGAAAATTGTCTCCTTTTTTTTTGAGACAGAGTCTCAAACTGTCGCCAGGCTGGAGTGCAGTGGTGCCATCTTGACTCACAGCAATCTCCGACTCCCTGATTGAAGCGATTCTCCTGCCTCACCCTCCCAAGTAGCTGGAATTACAGGCACACGCCACCACGCCCAGCTAATTATTATTATTACTACTACTATTTTGAGACGGAGTTTCGCTCTTGTTGCCCAGGCTGGAGTGCAATGGCGCGATCTCGGCTCACTGCAACCTCCACCTCCTGGGTTCAAGCGATTCTCCTGCCTCAGCCTCCCAAGTAGCTGGGATTACAGGCGCCTGCCACCACGCCCGGCTAATTTTTGTATTTTTAGTAGAGATGGGATTTCACCATGTTGGTCAGGCTGGTCGCAAACTCCTAACCTCAGGTGATCCACCTGCCCCGGCCTCCCAAAGTACTGGGATTACAGGTGTGAGCCACCATGCCCGGCCTGATACCCTTTTAATAGGAAAGATTCTGAAAGCAGTTCCTAATATAGTTTCCCAAAATGCTTTCATAGGACCTAGGAATAAAAATAATCTGTATTATGAAACATTCTTCTGAATGTACCCCTCCAAGAATAGTCCTATATTTAACTGCATCACCCCCTGATTGAATTTCACCTCATTTCAGTCTGGACACCTTCTGGTGCCTTTAAATAGTGGGGAAAAAAACAAAAACAAAAGAACACTACAGCAAAAGACCAAGAAAGCTTTGGGTTAAAGGCTTTTCCATTCATTCTAAACTCTAGATTTTTCACCTGAGGCCAGGCGCAATGGCTCATGCCTATAATCCCAGCACTTTGGAAGGCCGAGGCGGGCGGATCACCTGAGGTCAGGAGTTCAAGACCAGCCTGACTGACATGGTGAAACCCCGTCTCTACTAAAAATACAAAAACTAGCCGGGCATGGTGGCAGTTGCCTGTAGTCCCAGCTACTCCGGAGGCTGAGGCAGGAGAATCACTTGAACCCAGGAGGCGGAGGTTGCAGTGAGCCGAGATCGCGCCATTGCACTCCAGGCTGGGTGACGAGTAAAACTCCGTCTCAAAAAAGAAATTAAGAAAAAAAAAAAAAGCCTTTTCACCTGAATCTTTTTTTCCTTCTGTTTTATAAACCACATTTGAAGGGTACGATTGCACCAGAGAATTTTTAAATATGCCATCATTCTGTGAAAAGTGTTTGCTTTTTGCTGGTTGGTTTTTTGTATGGCTAGTGTTTTTTGTTATTATTATTAACTTAGTACCCCTTTCCTAACAGCTCAAAGAAAAAGAGATTTGGATTATACCATTAGAAGAGCTATGGAAATGTCAGGAGCCTCTTACCCCTCATAAATTATGCAGTATCGCTGTGAAAGAGCGAGCCAAAGGTGGTTCACCTGTTGACTTAGTTCTGAAAATCTAGGTCACAAAACTTTTGAGCAGTTTCCTTGTAAATCACATATGTGGTTGTCAGAGGAAGAGTCTTGTATTTAGCCTTCTTGCCTCATGTACAGTGACTACAGTGAAACTAAATGCATATCAACCCACTTCTCCACACCAGCCTAATTCAGTCTCGGCTGGTTTTGCTTTTTGAAAATGAGCAAGAACCTTTTTCTCCTAGTAATACCACTAAAATGCTGAGTTGACTTTTCATTTTTGCTTTGAAATTCCCCTCTAGGCTCTAAAGCAGCAATTAACTGTCAAGTTGAGGCTGGTGGCACCTATGCAGAGCAGACACTAGCTATTATGTATTGCTCACCAGGCGTCAATCTGGCCTTTTACACATGTGGTCACGGTTGATGGCCGTAACACAGTCCTTCCAAGTACATGGTCTTCTCCTCATTTTACTGATAAGCAAACTGAGGTTCAGAAATGTTCAATCATCTGCCTAGTGCCACACAAATAGTAGGTAGCAGAGTTGAACTCAGGTCTTTCTAAATCAAAAACCTACATTCTTTCTGCTGTTTTATGCTGCCTCTTAAATTACTTAACTATGTATTAAGAATGCTTTGTAAAATCAGTCGTCTGCCCAGCAGTTCTTTTTTTTTTTCCTTCTTTCCTTTTTTTTTTAAATGGAGAGTAGATACATAGTTGAAGGAAAAAGTGGAGCCCAACAGGACCCAGATCTTTTTATTGCATTTTTTAAGGGCGAAAGTAGATCAGATTGATTTTTCTTTCCTCATACTTCATCACAGCAATATGATGTCCAATTTGACCAAAATAACAACTAGGTAAGTAATTGCTTGATTAAAATCTCATATTTGGCATTGCCTGAGACAGAAATCCTAATAAGTGATAATATTATGACAGAAACCCTAATAATTGATTAAAAGTTAGATGACATTATTTTCATTTTAGTTTTGAGAAACTGTCAACTTTTAATTATTTTGCCATGTACATTTCACATGACCATGTTTTAAAGGCACATTTTCCAACATAGTCAAGATGAAGGGAGACATGTTTTAGGCAAGGAATATCAGTACGTTTTTAAGTTTATAAGGGAACAATGTATTAAATGACCCCAATCGTATATCAAATAGTGTATACATTGGTAGATGAACCTCCCATCTTTTTTTAGTAATTTTTGTAGCCAAAGAAAATGGTTCTTGGTAACTAAATGTAAATGCCAACTCAAGGCTAATGTGGGTTTTTTTAAGATCAGATTTTACAGCCCAACTCTTTTAATTTTAGTGCAAACTCTAAATTTAGCTAATTTCAACATAGTATAAAACTAATCAAATATGCTAGGCATTTTGCTTCTACAGAGTTTAGGGCATTTTGCCTAAATTGCTTGCCTCTAATTGTGGGGTCTTATTTCCCTTTCAGATATAGAGGACTTAAAATATGCTGCTTTTGGAAGCTACAGTAGCAATTTTGCAGTGAGCACACTTACAAGCTGTGACTGGTCAGACAGGGATGATGCAACTCAGGGCAGAAAACTCTCTCCATTTGTCCTCTCAGCAGGAAGTGGATCCCCCTCAGCCACCTCAATTCTTCAAAAGAAAGAGACTTCATTTGGCAGTTCTGAAAACATCACCATGACATCTCTCTCCAAAGTAACAACCTTTGCAAGTGAAGATGCTCTTCCAGAGACCACCTTCCCAGCGTTTGCCAGTTTTAAAGACATGATTCCTCAGACCAGTGAGCAAAAGGAATATGAAAGCAGAGACTATAAAGATTTCACAAGACAGGACCTGCCTACAGCTGAACGGAGCCCAGAGGCCACTTGTCCCAGCCCAGCGTCCAGTGGTGCCTCTCAAGAAACCCCCAACGAATGTTCAGATGACTTTGGAGAGTTTCAAAGTGAAAAGCCCAAAATCAGCAAATTTGACTTCTTAGTAGCCACTTCACAAAGCAAAATGAAATCCAGTGAAGAAATGATCAAAAGTGAGCTGGCAACCTTTGACCTTTCTGTTCAAGGTGAGTAGCTTCCAAGGTAGATTTTACTATTGCGGTTTTTTTCCACTGAGATGTTAGATGTTCTTAAGAATAAAATGTTGCTCCCTGGTTTAGCAGGAAATAGATTTTTCTAATCTTTGAAATCCGGGTCAATTACAGATAGCTATAATAAAGATTTCCCTGAGACTGGAGTCAAAATCAGTATCCCTCAGATAACTGTTTTATGGGCTAAAAACAAGCATAGCATACAGGTATTGTTCATTAGCTCGTTTGGTTAGAGGTGCGCTGTGTTAAAAGAGCCAGATAAATGGGTTTGAGCCACTTGAAGGCACGTTAGCTCCGCTCATGTTCCCGGGGCACAGATAATGTCTTTGAATCCAAAGGTTGCAATGTGGTGGCCGTGGATCTGCATCCAGCCTGCATATCACATTGACCCACACAAGAGATTTTTAAGTATGAAGTAATTGCCAGTATTTAAAAGACATGAGATTTCCCAATCTGGATTTCCACCTTTTCTTGAGAAGTCATAATATCTGGCACTAGTAGGTCTGCATTCCCATATGCTGACAAGCAGCTGGAGCCAAAAGCACCGCTCCCTGTAGATGGGTCATTCTCTCTCTCTTGCCATAATCTCCACCGCTTCCTGTCTCAGCGGACCTACTTAGGGTATTCACTTTCCTTGCCTGGTCTCTGAAGGCATTTGAGTTTGCCTCTTCTGCTTTAATCGCATCCTGACTGAAGGAGTTGTGGATTTCAGCTGGATGGAGAGCCTGCGAAGGAACTCGGTTACAAATCCATAACAAATGACTGGAAAAGCTGCACAACTTTACACACGGGTATTTAGAAAGGTGCTTTTGTTCTCCAGACTCCAGTGATTCTGCACTGAGCATTATGGAAGACTTGTGATAGATCAGAGAAGAGTCATGTTGAAAATAAAAGGCAGGGAAACCAAGCAAGAGAGAACAGTGGAAAGAATTCAACATGCAACTTCCCAGAAAGAATGAATGAGGAATGTGTTTGTGAATGCCTCATGACATAAGCATCTGAAGAAGAGGGTTGTGGGCTGGGTGCGGTGGCTCACATCTGTAATCTCAGCACTTTGGGAGGCGGAGGCAGGCGAATTAACTTGAGGTCAGGAGTTCGAGACCAGCCTGGCCAACACGGTGAAACCGTATCTCTACTAAAAATACAAACATTAGCCGGGCACGGTGGTGCACACCTGTAGTCCCAGCTACTCAGGAGGCTGAGGCAGGAGAATCGCTTGAACCCAGGAGGCAGAGGTTGCAATGACGGGATGCAACACTGTATCTCCAGTATGAGCAACAACAAGACTTGTCTTAAAAACAAAACAAAAAAAAAAAGAGGGTTGGTGGCGTAGCGAGGACGAGCCTCTGGCCTGAACTCAGGTAGGTGGGCCAAAACCTTTGAACTGTCGTATTTCTCCCCCTTCTCCCCAGGATCACAAAGAGAGTTTGAGCCTCGGTGATAAAGGAAATAAGCGCCTCTGTCCCTTCTCCCGGCTTTTTGGAGCGCAGCTTTCAGAAGACCGTTCCAATACTCTGAATGAGAAGCCCGCGGCTGCCGTCATCCGAGACCAAGTACAAAGACCTGACGGGAGAGGTGGAGGTGAGAGGAGAGCTCTTCTAAGGGGGTGGATAAACCAGAACAGCAAGCACACAGACCCAAGACGAATGCTCCTCAGCTTTCACATGGTGGAAAATGAGGAGCAGAAGGCACAAAAGCACCAGACATAACCTAAGTAATTAAAGTGAGAGAAAGGGTACACAATTAGCCCTGGGTGAAAACATTTTCCAAGGCTGTGCACCCACTGAAAATAGTCAGTGACCCTCAAAAACCAAAACTATTCATGGGGACTTCACAAGGATGCAGCAGCTTTGGTCAGAAATTTCTTCTGAGCACGTGACTGTTATTGTCTTCCATGAAACCTCAAAAATAGGGGACAGGGAAAAATATCTGAAATTTTTTTTTTTGGTCTGCTGTCATCTTAGTAATCATTAGCACAAGGACATGGTGGTCCACATATAACCGACGGTAAATGTTTCCTCCTATGGCCCAACGCCACATTAACTTCCTGCCTTTCCCCCTACTCCTTGTTCACCATGGCACGTGGGCCCATGTGCCATCAAACAGCACATCGTTATAACCAGGGAGTGGGGAACAAGCCCAGCCAGCCTAAAAGCAGTTTCTGTAGCCAGATACGCTACAATGCTGAGTGCCTTGGAAGAAAAGGCTTACAACTGTTTACTGATGGAACAACAATGAGGCAACACTCACAGGGGGAAGCCGCTGGAAAGCATGTCCCTTAGACTCACAGATCCTGTGCATCCAGAAGTTACACATTTAATTAGTAATTAACATAAGTTTAGTTAGTGCAGTTCAAGAAGATAAACTGCAGCCGGCGTGGTGGCTCCATCCCTGTCATGCTCAGTCACTTTGGAAGGCCAAAGTTGGGCAGATCAGCTTGAGCTCAGAGTTTGAGACCAGCCTGAGCAAACATTGGTGAAACGCCCACCTCTAACCAAAAATACGAAAAATAGCCCTTAATGGTGGTGCGCACCTGTAGTCCCAGCTACTCTGGAGCATGAGGTGGGCAGGATTGCTTGGCATCCAGGAGGGTTGAGGCTGTAAGGAGCAAGAAATCACGCCACTGCGCACTTCAACCTGGGCACAGAGCAAGACCCTGTCCTCAAAAAACAAGGAAAAAAACCTGCTTGAACTAGAGTGATTGTAATAAAGAAAGTCTTCCAGTCAAGCCCTTTGAATTGACCAGAGTCATCAGTGAATTCCAGTTTCGCGCTTCAAGGCCCTTAACCAGTTCTTTTTATCAAATTCACAGGAAATGAGAAGATATGCATATGAATGGCAGAGATGCCTGGGAGTGCCCTGAATGTGAGTATGTCATTTTCGCGTTCACACGTACTGTAAGTTTTCTCTTGTGCCTTTTTGCCTTTCTTGGTTCATTTGAATGGACAGAGGCAAACTTCAGGAGAGCCTTACGTGGGATGTCCCTGGCAAAGTGAAACTCCTGTGGAAGTCATACATCGTAGGTGAGGCTTCTTTCACATTACAATAGCAGACTGGCTCATGTGTCAGTCGTCTCCTCATCTGTCATTGTGTTTAAGAAATACCAAAGTGATTAATTAACTCTGACTAAATCAAAATAATATTAAACTAAAGAACCTGTCTTGGCCGGTGCGGGGCTCAACACCTAATATTCCAGTACTTTGGGAGCCTGAGGCGGGCAGATCACGAGGTCAGGAGTTCCAAGACCAGCCTGATCACATGTTGAAACCTGTCTCCTAAAATAAAACAAAAATTATCCAGGCGTGGTGCCGCACCCTGTAGTCCCAGCTACTCAGGAGACTGAGGCAGGAGAATCACTTGAACCCGGGAGTTGGGGGTTGTGGTGAGCTGAGACTACACACCTAACACTCCAGCCTGTGCTACAGAGCGATAGACTCGTCTCAAAAAAAAAAAAAAAAAACATTGTCTTTTTTCTTCCAAATAAATGGAGGATTGTTTCTTCAAGGATAAAATGAGATTTTTTGACACCTCGTGGCTTTTCGGTTGGGTTTTCTACTAACAGTAAATTGATTTGCGATGACTTTTGTCAGTTATGTAAGGTGATGTGATTTCATTTCTTGTAGGTCATTAAGAAGGCAAATGATACCTTAAATGGAATCAGTAGTAGTTCTGTTTGCACAGAAGTAATTCAGTCAGCTCAAGGCATGGAATATTTATTAGGTATGTTCTTTTATATTTTACTATTGAAAATGATGGCACTTTGCATTATTTTCACTTTTCCCTTGAATTATTTTAAGCTAGATCTCTCAAGTTACATATGACTTCACTAAGAAGCATCTGCATTTGTGGGTAAGACACTTAAGTTACAGGCAGTAAACTATTGAACTTAAAAAGTCTCTATGGCTAAGTTTCCTCGTCCTTGTTATATACATAATAGCGAAAATGTAAAATTATGTCTCTGTTACTGGTTTATCAGAGCTACTGATGCACTGAAATAAAATCATCTTGTCTCCCATCAGTTCCTTACCATACTCTATATTCTTTCTCTCGACCGCTTAATGACACCACAGAATCCTTAACCTCCTGGTCATCTGCAGCAATTAGATATGTCAGTCCAACGTGAAAGCGCAGCCTCTGTCCGCTTCGGTGTTCCTCCCTTCCCCAGGCTCAGGCTTGGCCCGTGGCCGGAGCCACACACACTGGACCCTAATCTTTTTCAAATCTTTACTCACATGTCAGCTTCTGAGTGAAATCTTTCCTAGCATCCATCTCTCCGAAGAGTATCCTCTCTCCCCACCCCGGCACTTCTCATCCCATTCTCTGCTGGATTTTCTCCTTTGCTCTATTACCTTTAATTTCTTACATATGTTACTTATTGCTCTTTTCTTAAGACAGGATCACACTCTGTCACCCAGGCTGGAGTACAGTGATGTGATCATGACTCACTGCAGCGTCCACCTCCCAGGCTCAAGCAATCCTCCCACCTCAGCCTCTCAAGTAGCTGGAACCACAGGCGCGCACCACCATGTGCCCAGCTAATTTTTGTAGTTTTTGTAGAGATGGGTTTTCGCCATGTTGCCCAGGCTGGTCTCGAACTCCTGAGCTCAAGCAACCCACCCATCTTGGCCTCCCAAGTGCTGGGATCACAGGCGTGAGCCACTGCGCCTAGTTACTTGTTGTTTTTATGCTCTGTCTCCCTCCACTGGAATGAACCTCCACGAAGGCTAGGATTTTGGTCTGTTTTGTTCACTGGTGTGTCCCCAACACCTAATCTAGTGTCTTGCACATAGTTGGCACTCAAAAATATTTGCTGGATGAGTGGAGAGTGAAGGGATGTAGCCTCTGCCTTACTCCTGCCACCTCACTCGGGGTCTTCTTTTCCTGCTCAAACAGGCACAGTTCTGCATAAGCAGATGTCCACCAGGAAATGGGGCACCTGTCTTTTCTCCTCGTATCCTTGTATCTATGGAAGATTCTCTTAGAAGCGCCCTCACTTGCCTTAGGGTGGGCAGTAATTTCTGCCCCTCCCTTGGGGAAGGAAGAAGAAAGGCCATAGTGCTGTACACAGGGCTGCTGAGGCACCACTCTGAAGATCCCCTGGAATCCCTCTGTGTTCACTTAGAGAGGTCGGGGTCATGTCTTTGGTGACTGTCACATTGCAGGGGTTAGGGATGTATCTGGTGGCTGTCCTTAGAATGTGAGGTACTTATCACCTCTCATCCTTGCTTGAAGAGTTCAACCACAATTTAGAGACCACAGGAAAAGAACCGGTCTGCATCCTGTTGCATGTATAAAGATAAGTGAAGTCAAAGTGTTTGTAAGAGCTTCAGATTCAGAGGGGTGAGATATTTCTTAATTACTTTGTGATGCTATTAACATTGAGATTCTTTTAAATTTTTACTATCCCCATTTTCAGCTAGTTTATTGGGATTTCCCAGATTCAAGCAGATGGACTCATAAATAAACCTCCCAAAAAACAAAACCTAATAACTTGCATATTGCCTGCCATTCTCCAAGCACTGTTGTAAGCCTTTTACCATGTTAACCTGTTTAATCCTCTCAACCATCCTTGGAGGAGGTACTGTTACCGTCCCAACTTCACAGATGAGGAAATGGAGTTACAGAGAGGTTATGTGACTTGCCTAAGGTCATGTAGCCAGTAAGAGGCATAGCTGGAGTTTGAACCCAAGCAGTGCAGCTTTAGAGTCTATTCTCTTACCAGTGAGCTATACAGCAGCACTGAGAAGTGGATTGGTCCCAGAGAATAGTACGTACACCTCTGTCCAGATGTACCCTTGTTTCTAATAGATATCAGCAAGCAATGATGCTCCCCTGTCTGGTTCCTCTGTGTCTCCACTGTCAACACTCTCTCTCTGCTCTCTCATCCCGTCAGGTGTTGTTGAAGTGTACAGGGTAACCAAGCGTGTGGAGCTGGGGATCAAAGCCACTGCAGTGTGCAGTGAGAAACTCCAGCAGTTGCTGAAGGACATCGATAAAGTGTGGAATAACCTAATCGGCTTCATGTCACTCGCCACACTCACAGTAAGTCCATGAAACAACTCAGCAGTTGCTTTCCTTTCCAGAAACCTAAGCTGTAAAGCAGAGTGTATTCCTATGATGGTACTTACTGGAGGCTGAAGGTGCCAACTGGAGCATGTTGTATTAAAGGAGGGAGATCACTGGTGTGTGGTCAGCTGAACAGCACCAGGTGGGCTTCTGATCTCTCCAAGGCCCAGGGAACCTAAGGAAAAAAAGAGTATAGGAAAACATTCACTCTGGCTACACCTTTCTTAATTCACATAATACATGGAAGTTTTGCAAAGCATTGGTTTGAGATACTCCCTTTGCACTTCTAGTTATTTGTGTCCCCATATGTGTCCTTTCAAAAAGCTATATGATACCTCATGTTGCCATCCTGTAGTTTGTTTAGCCCTTCTTTTTTTAGGTTCTTGGGTTATTTTCATTTTTTCCTGTTACGAGTAGTTCTCTAAATAACAAATCACTGTTCCTTTGTGGGGATGTAGTGCCTCTAAGTGGAGTAAGAGGTCAGTGTGTGTGTCTGCACAGGTGCATGCATACATATGTAGCTGTTGTTACATTTATTAGAAGGCTTTCCAAGAGCTTGTATTGGTTGCAGTGCTACCAGATATATTTAAGTACATGGATACATTTCTCTCCATTATGTCCTATCAGTTTCCTAATTTAACAAGCATGCAGTTATTCCCTAAGGTGTTTTTTGCATTTTGTTTTAATTTCATGAGAGGCTTTGCCGTGTTCCAAATGACAGTTTACTATTTCTGTTTCCTTTGTGTATAAATGGATTGGACTCTTTTGACCATTTGACCATTTATTCCTTGGAATATGGTTATTGACCTTATATATTTCATATTTGTAATAGATTTATGTACATATATATAAGCTTGTAAACTTTTATCAGCTTTTTTTCCTCCTCTATTACTGTCCCTTTTTTACATTTCATTGGGCGAAACTATTTTATTTTTATATATTCATACCTATTCAGTTTGTCTCTGATGATATCCTTTATTTCACAATAGTCAGAAGTTTATCTTGCTTCCACAGCTGGAATAAATATGCTATTCCAATTTTTTTTAAACGTGAAACACTGTGACCCATCTGAATGGGATTGCAGTTGTGTGGGAGGAAGCAGTTCTAATTTTCTGAACTGATAGCCAGGTGGATACCCAGCTACCCCAACAATGTGTCTTCAGCAGCACATCCTCTCACCATTGTCATGTTGCTTCTGGTTTGTAATATTAAAGTCTTTAAGAGTTTAAATAATTTCCAAAACTTTTTCTTGTTCCCTTGAATCAGTTCTCATTTTCTAACCTAAAACCATAGGTAGATAATTTTTTTAAAAACACTGTTCTGGCAAGTGAAGTAAGAAATGAAGTATTAATATTGAAAAAAGAGATAAAATTATGTTTAGTTAGTGATAATGAAATTCTTTTAAAAATCTAAATTCAAGCAGCCAGGTGCAGTGGCTCACCCCTGTCATCCCAGCGCTTTGGGGAGGCTGAGGTGGGCGGATCACTTGAGCCCAGGAGTTTGAGACCAGCCTGGGCAACATGGTAAAACTCCGTCTCTACCAAAAATACAAAAATTAACCAATCTCATAACCTGGTCAGTCGATAGATAGATAGATAAAAAAATACATTTTTTAATCTAAATTCAAGAGTATAAATGTATTGCATGTGGCAAAAATTCGTAACAATCCTACATATTAATAGTAGTTAGAAAATATGATGAAATTAGGCCGGGCATGGTGGCTCATGCCTGAATCCCAGCACTTTGAGAAGCCAAGGCAGGCAGATCAATTGAGGCCAGGAGTTCGAGGCCAGCCTGGCCAATATGCTGAATCACCATCTCTACTAAAAATACAAAAAAAAAAAAAAAATTAGCCGGCTGTGGTATCGAGTGCCTGTAATCCCCACTACTCGGGAGGCTGAGGCAGGAGAATTGCTTGAACCTGGGAAATGGAGGTTGTAGTAAGCTGAGATGGTGCCACTGCATTCCAGCCTGGGTGACAGAGCAAGACTCTGTCTCAAAAAAAAAAGAAAAGAAAATGAAGTTAGAAACCTTATTTTTTTTGTTAGAAAATATAACTAAGGCCAGGCACGGTGGCTCATGCCTGTAATCCCAGCACTTTGGGAGGCCAAGGTGTGTGGATCGCCTGAGGTCGGGAGTTGGAGACCAGTCTGATCAACCCCATCTGTATTAAAAATACAAAACTAGCTGGGTGTGGTGGTGCATGCCTGTAATCCTAGCTACTTGGGAGGCCGTGGCAGGAGAATTGCTTGAACCCAGGAGACGGAGGTTGCAGTGAGCCGAGATCATGCCACTGTCTTCCAGCCTGGGCAACAAGAGTGAAACTCCGTCTCGAAAAAGAAAGAAAAGAAAAGAAAGAAATATAATGAAATTAGAAATCTTTAAAAAAAAAAAATCTATTAACTAATTCAAGCCCATATCACTTTTGAACTTCTGACCTCTTTTTTTTTTCCCAGACAGTCTCGCTCTGTCACCCAGGCTGGAGGGCAGTGGTGCGATCTCGGCTCACTGCAACCTCCACCTCGTGGGTTCAAGCGATTCTCGTGCCTCAGCCTACTGAGTAACTGGGATTACAGGCATGCGCCACCACGCTCAGCTAATTTTTGTATTTTTAGTAGAGACGGGGTCTCACCATTTTGGCCAGGCTGGTCTCAAACTCCTGGGCTCAACTGATCCACCCACCTTGGCCTCCCAAAGTGTTGGGATTATAGGTATGAACCACTGTGCCTGACCTTGATACTAATATCAGAAAGAAATTTCTTTTGTGGGTTCTCCTAAAGAGAAAACTGATATAATCAACATTGTCTTCAAAAAAAAAAAAAAAGAAAAATCCTTTCAGTAAATAAAGCAACAGGTTTCATTGAGTAGTTTCTTATTACATCTCTCAATATAGGCCAAATGGCATAACTCCAGAGTATGAGAGGAAGTCATTTTAAGTGTGGAAAAAATAGATTAAATTGTAAACTAGGAGGTGTAGCAGTGCATACTGATGGCAGGCTCGTGTCTTTGCTCTGTAAAGGAAGCATACAAATCAACGAAAAATATACCAACATCTCAGTAACGTATGAGCAAAAATGTGAAGTGATTTGTAAAAGGGGAGGTACAGTTAATCAGTAAACATTAATTCAAATTAAAACAAGGTTACATTTTTTACCTACTTTTTTTTTTTACTTTTATTTTTTGAGACAGCTCTCACTCTCTTGCCCAGGCTGGAGTGCAGTGGCGCGATCTCGGCTCACTGCAACCTCCACCTCCCGAGTTCAAGCAATTCTCGTGCCTCAGCCTCCCAAGTAGCTGGGATTACAGGCGCCTGCCACCATGCCCAGCTAGTTTTTGTATTTTTAGTAAAGACAGGGTTTCACCGTGTTGGCCAGGCTGGTCTCGAACTCGTGGCCTCATGTAATCCACTCACTTCTGCCTCCCAAAGTGCTAGAGGCATTACAAGCGTGAGCCACCACGCCTGGCCTGCTTACTAATTAAGCCCAATTTTTGTGTGATCTATTTGTTTGAATACTAATAGTGTTGATGTGGTAAAATGTGGACTATATACTGTAGGGTGTAGTCACCTATGGAAGGAGAAGTTTGGCATCATGCTCTCCTCCTGGCTGTGAACTTCTTGAAGACAGAGATCAAGACTGCGTTTTTCATCTTTTCTTCTTTATCTGAGCACAGTGCCAGGCACTATGTAAACATTCAGTGAACACCCAGTAAAAGCTGAATGAATTAAAGGAATTAATATTCATTCAGAGTAGCTGACTCAGTAATTCCACTTCTGAGAAAATGTCCTAAGGCAGCGATTCTAAATATGAATTCACAGAAAGAAGCAAGTTAAGTGCACAGAGTTGTTCTTTGTAAACATGAAAAATTAGAGACAACCTGAAAGTCCAAATCTAGAGGACTAGTTAAGTAAATTGTGGTGAATCTTTACACCAGGATCTTATGCAGCCATTTTGTAAAGGAACACGAAGTTTGAATGACACAGAACTGTTACTACAGGGCTTGAAGGAAATCTGCCAAAATGATATTAGGGATGTGTTTGGGTAATGAGACACTGGATTTTTTTTTTCTTTCTCTTTTAGACAGGGTCTTCCTCTGTCACCCATTCTGGAGTACAGTGGTGTGATCACAGCTCACAGCAGCCTTGACCTCCTGGGCTGAAGCAATTCTCCCACCTCAGCCTCCTGAATGGCTGGGACCACAGGTGCACACCACCAAGCCCAGCTAATATTTTTGTAGTTTTTGTAAAGACAGGGTTTTGCCATGTTGCTCAGGCTGGTCTCAAACTCCTTGGGCTCAAGGAATCCATTCACCTCGGCCTCCCAAAGTGCTGGGATTACAGGCATGAGCCACTGTGTCCAGCCAGAACACTGGATTTTTCAATATTCTTTTAGTTTTTTCATTTTTTCAACTTTCTTTCGATAGCATTTGTTGCATTTATAGTGGAAAAATAAGTGTTTTTACTCTAGTAGGAGAAATGTATCATTATCCTTCATTCACTTGCAGAAACCCTCCCTGTAGATGCCCCTTGTTACCCTTGCCCACTTCTCCTTTCCATTGTAATGACAGGTTATCAAGTTCTTAAAACTGAATTTTATTTATTTACCTATTTATTTATTGTTTAGAGACAGGGTCTCACACTGTCACCCAGGCTGGAGTGCAGTGGCACAGTCATGGCTCACTACAGCCTTGAACTCCCAGGCTCAAGTGATCCTTGCATCTCAACCTCCCATAGCTGGGACTACAGGCATGCACCACCATGCCTGGCTTGGTAGGGACAGGGCCTCGCTGTGTTGCCCAGGCTGGTCTCAAACTCTTGACCTCAAGCAGGCTTCCCACCTCAACCTGCCAAAGGGCTGGGATTACAGGTGTGAGCCACCACACCCAGACTACTTTAGGGACTTTAATTGCAGTAAATCTGCATGGCAACCTGACATCTTTACCCTGCCTTCATCCTCTCCTGAAGCAGAGGAGAATCATGCCCAAGCTACCAGACATCTTCTCTCCTGACAGTCCACCTGACTAAGGAGGACTATAGTACCACACATCACCACCCCTAAAAGGCAACTGAATCAGAATACTGCGAACAGAAGCTGGGGAGAAGGAATGGGGGTAGTTTACTACTTAACCTCTGTTTCTCTATTTACATTCAGAGAGGCAGAATTCTTGGGGTCTGAATGAGAGTCTTCCAGTTCTATCCTTAATGGATTAGTTAACTGTTATGATAACTAATCCAAGGAACTTGGGAGAAAAGGCATGTGTTTGCTGCAGTCCTCCAATTTTCTTTGAGCTTCTGGAATTCACTTCATTATCCTCTGGATCAGAGAAATGCATTAAACTCTGCTTTTACTTCCTGAGCTCCAGCTACTAATGAAATTGATTGGCTAGTGATGTGTGCCGAGGGTGCCTGTGAAGTTGTGGGGTAGAGAAGAATGTGTCACCAGTTGTGAACTTGGAGATCAGTATGTGTCTGTGTCCTTCCTAATTCACCCAACCTGCTGCTTCCTGACCTTGTCCTAATATGGAGCAGGTTGAGCCTGGATATCATCATAGCAGTAGATACTTTTATTCTTCCCTTTTACAGATGAAGAAACTGAAGCACAGAGATACTGGCGAGGCCTGGGTTTATTCTGACAGTCAGAAGTCAACTTTCTCAACCTCTGTTCTTTGTGGCCACCTTGAGATGGGCAAGTTGGGTGGGTAAAACCAGAGAGGTACTTAAGTTTTTGTGGGGGGAATGGGTTGATTTTAGCATCAAGGTTAATGAGTTCAAACACCAGGAGTCTTTTCTGGCAGCAACTTGTTATAAACAGTCGAGTTCTTTTCTGCACGTTGCCCTTGCATATATATACCAGGACTGTAGAGTAACTTAAAAGCCTCCTTCTTTACATTTAGATTTTAAGGTTCTTTGTTTGGGTGGCAATCAGTTCTTATTGCAGTTAACACTTGAAAACTAGATTTCTATACAAACCCCCAAATCAGCCACCCATCTCTTCTCTCCTGTTGCTGCTGGGAAAAGATGACTGTGATCATAAAGCGTCTCTCTCCTTGCCATGAGCTCTTGGAAGAAAAGGTATCACAAAGACCAGGTGTACTTGCCAAGTTCGTGAATTTGGGGGAAAGGATAAGTGGGGGAGATTCCTGGGTTGCTGCTGTGTGTTTACCTCTTGAGATAGCTCCTCTCGCCAGGTGAAGTGCAAGCCAGTTTCATTTTTGTGCCTCTTCCCAAGCTCCTGTGGCTACAAGCTTGCTACAGCTGCACATTCTAGACTCTGAACACCCCTCCACACCTTTTCTTTTCTTTTTTTTCTTTTTTGGTAAAATAAAAATATATATATATATACACACACAATAAGATGTGAAAATCTTGGTTGTACCACTCAATGAGTTTTGAAAAATGCATACTCTCAAGCATATAACCCATGCCTCTATCAGGATATAGACTACTCCATCAATCCGGAAGTTTTCTTATGCACCTTGTTAATTGTCACCCTACTCAGATATAATCCCTGGTGTGATTGTTTTTATACCGAGGATTAGTTTTTTCCAGACCTTTTTAAAGAGACCTTGGAATTTGATTTTGTTGTTTTGAACAAAGCCTATTGGGTTTGGGGCCCATCTAACCTGGAGCTTTGCCCTGTTCACATATGGTGGCTCTAACTCCTTTAGTGTAAACAAATGTGAGGTAAATGCGGAAAAGGGCTGGACATTTATGCCCTTCCCTCAGACTCCCATTGTGAACATCCTTTTCTAGCGTCAGTGTCTAGATGCTAAAGAGTGGTTTTACCTAACTTTTGTTTTTTAAGACACTAGGTAAGGGTATAGAGATGAATTAATCTTCCAACTTGACAACACTAGAATGTACTGTAAATTGAACCTGAACACCGGAGTATTCATTTCTCTCAATACCCATGTGCTTCCCCTTATAATTGCTTTTTTCGCTAGGTTAGCTGTGGCAGAACAACAATCATTCTTTGCCCAGATTATACCATGTCATTGTACCCTTGATAACTGCTAGGTATGTCCTCTGTCTGTAAAACTTGAGTTTCCCACTGCATGAGGAATAGCACACATTCCACAGAAACAGTGTAAGGTGTTACTTGTCATGAAGAAGCCTTTACTCTAGCAGAACTGATAAGAAATACCTGCATAAATGTAAATGACATAAACCAACATCTGTGTAGTTCAAATCATTTGTAACAAAACTATACAAACTCCCAGGACTCTGGATTAGACGCTCAAACTGGAGAAATCAATGTTAGAAAGAGGCATGATTGAGGTTTTATGGGAAGCTTTTAATGCTTAACACTATTGCTTCATTTCAGCTAAATGACTTCCTTAATGAACTACATTGCCACAGTGAGGCCCTTTGATTCCATACTACTATTACTATTACTACTACTACTACTACTACTACTACTACTACTACTACTACTGGTTACCTTTTATTGATATTTTGCACCTAGGACCTGCCAGTCCTTGTGCTATATGCTTTACATTCATTCTAATTGAATCCTGGTAACCCCATGTCATCACATGATGAGTCCTTATAAGGGGAAGGTAGGAGGGGAAGAGTGAGAGAAAGTGATGTGACAACAGAAGCAGAGAGAAGAGGAAAGTGGCAGATGCTACCTGCTGGCTTTGAAGATAGGACCACGAGCCAAGAAGTGCAGAGGCCATCTCTAGCAACTGGATTATACTCTAGAAGTATGATTATCACTTTTACAGATGAAGAAATTAGGGCTTTGAGAAGATGAAACTTGACTGAAACTGACAAGTCTGTGATTTGAATCTGTATCATTTCAGAATCCATTCTTCTTCCTACTCTATGTTACTTCCAGCTTTTAAGTTACTGAAGATGACTTCTTTCTTCCCATGAAGACTGTGAGGCTGTTTCTGTCGGAAGACAGCTGCTTCACCTTCTCCAGTGAAAGTCACAGAACGTAGTGCTGCATCACAGTAGTCATGCTTGGGCTGAGGAAGGCAGGGTGCACAGTCTTAAACTCCAAACTATGGCTCATTGCTGTTTATTTAAGCTGGAAATGACACAGTCATTCCCCTGTGCATGGCAGAGAATTGGTTCCAGGACATCCTCCATTTCTGGATATAAAAATCTGCAGACATTCAAGTCCCTGATAAGAAATGACATAGGATTTGCATATAACCTATGCACATCCTCCTGTGTGTTTTAAATCATCTCTAAATTACTTATAATACCTAATACAATGTAAATGCTGTGTAAATAGTTATTATACTGTATTGGACCTTTTTATTTGTATCATTTTTGTTTTTTCCTATTTTTTCCTCCGAACATTTTTGATCTGAGATTGGTTGAACCCATAGATGTGGAACCCATGGATACCGAAGGCTGACTGTACTGGCAAAGCTTTGTGCTCTCTCTTTGGTACTCTTTATCCCTGGACTAAGGCTCCCTCTTGTGGTAGAAGCATGTCTTCTCCGGGCACAGACTGAACACCTGCTTCTTTCTAAAGAGGTAAAAATCACCTAGTTTAGTGAGATGTGATGCACTGAGGTTGGCTCCCTAAGTGACTTGTCATCTAAGGTTTTATCTTGTGAAGTGGGTTGAAGTTCAGTAGGGTTGGAACAAACAGAGAATTCTGTCCTGGAAAATTAATCGATTTTTGCCATATAAAATCTAAGAGAAGAGAAAAGGTTGTTATTCACCTGTATTTTAGTCAATTGGCAATCACACAGGCTCTTTGATTCCACTGTTCACCTCAGTGAAATATGAATTCTTTTGTACTTCCTTTCAATGTGAAATTGACCTGTGAATTTCAGAGTACTTATTTCCTATTGCTGTGACATATCAGGAGAACAGTTTATTTTTAATGGTGATGGCATTTTTGTCATCTTGCCAGTCTGCACAATGTTTTAGACACAGGATCTTTACTGTGTCTCTGCAGGGCTGTCCTCAGTTGACAGAAGGCAGCTGTGGTAGACAGAATGATGGCCCCTCAAAGCCGCCCATGTCCCTGGAACTTGTGAATATGTTACCTTTGCAAATAGGATTAAGTTAAAGGTGTTTCATTGGGGAAGGTATCCTGGTTTGCCCAGGTGGCCCCAATGTCATCACAGGGATCCTTAGAAGGGGAAGGTAGGAGAGCAAGAGTGAGAAAAAGTGATGTGATAACAGAAGCAGAGAGAAGAAGAGAGTGACAGAAGCTACCTGCTGGCTTTGAGGATGGGACTACAAGCCAGGGAATGCAGAGGCCGTCCCTAGAAGCTAGAAAAGGCAAGGAAACAGATTTTTCCCCTAGAACTCCCAGAAGGAATGCAGTGCTGCTCACCCATTTTAGACTTCTGAAATCCACAACTGTAAGAGGATACATTTGTGTTGTTTTAAGCCATTAAGTTTATGCTACTTTGTGACAGCAGCAATAGGAAAGATTATACAAAATCTGTAACCAAGCAAATACCAAAACTTTATAATTGCCTATGGAACCTGTGTCTAGATCACCCTTTGTATCAGTCAAATTAGACTAGGTTATGCTTCAGTAACAAACAGCTTCTTCCATCTTAGCAAAAGCAAAGCTTTATTTCTTGCTCAGGCTGTATGTCCATCTCAAGTTGGTGGGGGGCTCTGTACCATGTCCTTATCCAGGGACCCAGGTTGACAGAGCCTCCACCATGTGGAACACAGCTGGTCACCATGGAGGGTCAAGGGAACATGAGAAATAGCACATTGGTCTTAAAGGCTTCCTCCCAGAGGTGACGCTTTTTTTTTTCTTTTTTCCTTTTTTTTTTTTTTTTTTTTTGAGATGGCGTCTTCCTCTGTCGCCCAGACTGGAGTGCAGTGGCACAATCTCAGCTCACTGCAACCTCTGCCTCCCAAGTTCAAGCTATTCTCCTGCCTCAGCCTCCCAAGTAGCTGAGATTACAGGTGCCGCCGCCATGCCCAGCTAATTGTTTTGTTTTGTTTTGGTTTTGAGACGGAGTCTCGCTCTGTTGTCCAGGCTGGAGTGCAGTGGCATGATCTCGGCTCACCGCAACCTCCACCTCCCAGGTTCAAGCAATTCTCCTGCCTCAGCCTCCTGAATAGCTGGAATTACAGGCAGGCACCACCACACCTGGCTAATTTTTGTATTTTTAGTAGAGACGGGGTTTTACCATGTTGGCCAGGCTGGTCTCGAACGCCTGATCTCGTGATCCACCCGCCTCAGCCTCCCAAAGTGCTGAGATTACAGGTGTGAGCCACCATGCGCGGCATTTTTTTTTTTATTTTTAGTGGAGATGGGGCTTTGCCCTGTTGGCCAGGCTGGTCTTGAACTCCTGACCTCAGGTGATCCACCCACCTCAGCCTCCCAAAGTGCTGGGATTACACGTGTGAGCCACCACACGCCCGGCCTACATGTGACTTTTGCTTAGTTTATTGACTGTGGCAAGTTACAGGCCCATGCCTGATTGAAAAAGGGGTAGGGAAGGCCCATCCTACCATTCCATAAAAAGGAGAAAGATTATTGGTGAAGAACACTAATTACTACCAAACTCTTCTTCCTCAATAAGGATCTTCTTAGACACCATTGTAGGAGTTGATTGTAGGCCAAAGACTCAGGATTCTATATCTCAGTCTGACACTGGCGCTTATCAGTGTCAGTAGGCCATATATAAAATATATATTTTAAATCTTTACTAAATGCATGAAATACTTGCCAAATAAGGAGACGATCAATTTAAGGTGACTTATAGAGGGCATATCTTATATGAAGACAGCCAAACTGTTATCTTATATGACTGGTGCCAAACTCTTGCTATTATACTACAATAAACACCCTGTTTATACGTGTATACTTAGTTAATTTTGTCAGCTGAAAGAGTAATTTGATCACAGGGTCATTTATGCAGAGCCTTATGGTTTTAATTGGCTATTACAGTATGACCTTTTCATTTGCTTTCTTTATGCCTTTGGTAAACAGGTATTAAGGGGCTTTATTAATTGGATTGATTTCAGGATTTAGAGTGTTCCCAGATTCTAACGATTTATCAAATAGCCCTGATTCCGTAACATGATGACTATCTATAATGTGGGTTACAGAGGTGATACCATGTTTTAACCTCTTTAAAAAACTTGCTAAGAGTTCGTCAAAGTGAATAATTGTGATAAGCATATAGACTATGTTTTCACTTCCAGAGCATGTTTTATGTCCATCTGAGATATATAGAAATGGAAGAGAGGTGTTAGGGCAAGTGAAATTGTTACCCTTTTACAGATGACTGACTGCAGAACAAACAAGTGTCAGTGCCAGCCTCTTCTGCATTTGACCACAGTGACCATGGTTGCACTAAAAAAGACAAGAGAGAAAAGAAAAAAGATCCTATGACGTGGCTAAGGCCATGTAAGTTTACTTTGATCACCTATACCAGAGTCCTCTTGCACACAGTTGAAACATACACCTCCCCTTTTCTTCTTCGAAAACCATGTGTTCTTCCTTCCCCTGCTGTGATCTCAGTGGATCTAGCTCAAATGTGTTTAAGAAAGGTTTGTGGAGCTAGTTCATGGTTTATTATTTCAAATTAGAAAGGAACAGGGAACATCATACATAATCTATACGTTTCTATAAGGAGAAACCTTTTTTTTTTCCTGGTGAGGAAAAATACGGATCATATAATTTTGCTTTGTTGCTCAAAAACAATGTGGAAACTCCCCAGTGGTTCAGACTGGAAGAACTATGGGAAATGTAGCTGTTACTTTGACAGGAATTTGCCATCATCCTGGGTCACCTCAGTATCCATGAGGACAAACCAGCTTCCATGCCAGGCTCCCAGATGCTTGACTGCCTGGACCACAGGACCCTTGCTTCCCCTGCACTTCAGCCACCCACTGGCATCATCACAATGGGCTGTGTTAGCAAACACTGTGCAGCGCCTGTGCAGTCTCGAACCCAGACATCGAACTTCCTGAGTCCGGATTGGCAACCTTCCAGTTGTCTCACTCTTCACTGGCACTGCTGCTGTTTTTGGTTCTCAAGACAGGGTATTGTCTCTTTTACTGTGTTCCTATCAACCCTCTTCTGTCTTCACTTCTTTTCTCACCTCCTTACTCTCCACAGTGCATGAGGCATCCCTCCTCACTCCCTTCAGTCATGCTCATTAGACAGAACCCAACCGGAATCAGTGCAGCCATCCACCTTCTCCCCCACCTTGACCCACTGTGTGCTGGTGGAGAGAATCACACCGTCAGTTTGCTGCTTAAAGCTCGCAAGGCTACTTCTATTTCAGACACAGCCGATGATCTCACCTCCTGCATTAGAGTGAGGATAAACCCTCTGAGAGGAATTCCTCAACTTCTAGGCTCCCACCTAAGATTCCATTCTGTCACACTAGTGTGTTAGATCCAGTTCTTACTGGCTTGAAAGAGTTTGTTAAATGTTCAGGAATTTTATGAGCCAGTTGTTAAACATGGTTATTACTCAAAATTAAATGAAGACTGGGTGCAGTGGCTCATGCCTGTAATCCCAACACTTTAGGAGGCTGAGGTGGGAGGATCGCTTGAGGCCAGAAGTTCTAGACCAGCCTGGGCAACATAGTGAGACCTCATCTCTACTAAAAATAAAAAGTAGCCAGGTGTAGTGGCACACACCTGTATTCCCAGCACTCAGGAGGCTGAGGCAAAAGGATTGCTTGATCCCAAGAGTTTGAGTCTACAGTGAGCCATGATCACGCACGTCTCTGCACTCCAGCCTGGGTGACAGAGTGAGACTCTATCTCAAAAGCAAGACAAAACAAACACAAATGATATAAACTTGCAGTTAAATACATTATATTAAAAATAGTGGTAATAAATACTTAAAACATTCTAGTTCTTACATTTTACTATTTGTCTAGCTTTCAGGGTTATTTATGTCTATCACAGGGCAACCAACTGTCCCTGTTTGGTCAGGACTGAGGGATTTCCTCAGTGCTAAAAAGTGATAGAGAAAATGTTATTAGTGCAGATTAAACTTAAAAGTGTGTGGCCAGGCACAGTGCCTCACACCTGTAATCCCAGCACTTTGGGAGGCCAAGGTGGGCAGAGCACGAGGTCAGGAGTTCAAGACCAGCCTGGCCAAATGCTGAAACCCCGTCTCTACTAAAAATACAAAAATTTGCCAGGTGTGGTGGCAGACACCTGTAGTCCCAGCTACTCAGGAGGCTGAGGCAGAAGAATCCCTTGTGAACCCAGGAGGCGGAGATTACAGTGAGCCGAGATTGTGCCACTGCACTCCAGCCTGGGCTACAGAGCAAGACTCCATCTCAAAAAAAAAAAAAAAAAAAAAATGTGTTAGCTGGGTATGGTGGTGTACACTTGTAGTCCCAGCTACTTGGGAGGCTGAGGCGGGAAGATTGCTTGAGCCCGGGAGGCAGAGGCTGCAGTGAGCCAAGATGACACCACCACACTCCAACCTGGGCAACAGAGTGAGTCTCAAAATAAATAAATAAAAATAAAAGTGTGCTGCGGGGCCAGGCGCAGGGGCTCATGCCTGTAATCCCACCACTTTGGGAGGATCACTTGAGCCCAGGAGTTCAAGATCAGCCTGGGCAACATAGGGAGATATCATCTTCACAAAAAATCAAAAAATTACCTGGGCGTGGTGGCATGCACACGTGGCCCCAGCTATTTGAGAGACTGAGGTGGGAGGATCTCTTGAGCCCAGGAAGTCAAGGCTGCGGTGAGCTGTGATCATGCCACTGCACTCCAGCCTGAGCAGCAGAGTGACTGGACAGCTTTCCAAGATTGAGACCTCCTCTTTTAACCATTCTGTGTGTGTGTGTGTGTGTGTGTGTGTGTGTGTGGTGAATTAGATAATGCATGTGAAGAGCTTAGTATAGTGCTTGGCAAAGTAAGGGCTTATTAGCTGTTGTTCTATTTATGGTCTGTAGCTGGTGACTTTCAGTTCTCTCCGCAAGCAGTAGGCCTGTATGTCTATCCAACCACCTGCTTATGTAGCATGTGGCCTTCGCTGTCCCACAGGTGGCTCCAACTCAGCTTGGACCAAACTGAACTCTTCTCCTCAGCTTCCATCCTCAAACCTGGTCCTTCTTTCACGTGTCTTATTATGGTGAATCCCCTCAGCTGCCCGGGTCCCCCAACCTCTCCCATCTAGCAGGTCACCCAGGCCTGCTCATTCTCCTGCCTTGGCAGCTCTTTCCCGTGTCCATTTCTCCCCATTCCCCACCGCTGCTGCCTTCATTCTGACCATCGGTATCTGTCTCCAGGACTGCTACAGCAGGCTTCTGGCTGAGACCCACGCCTTGAGGATTGCCACCCCCAATTCATTGCCTATACACTAGCGAGAGGGATCTGTCAATAATACGAACCTGGGCCTGTGCTGATCCAGTTGGAACCCCTAGTGGCTTCCAGGATGCTCCTTATCTTCCTTGAAGTCCTCATGCTGTGGCTTCATCTCCTCCTTTCGTGGGCTCTGCCCCCACCCTCTAGATTCCTTCCCATACCCCATCTTTAGCTCAGAGGCCTTTGCCTATACTGCTTGTTCTGCATAGAATATCCTTCCCTCCCCTACCTCACCCAACCCCATCCCCTTCACCTAGCAGCTCCCATCTACACTCAGCCACGGTGATTCTAAGTTCTAGGAAGCAGGCCGGATACGGTGGCTCATGCCTGTAGTCCCACCACTTTGGGAGGCTGAGGCGGGTGGATCACCTGAAATCAGGAGTTTAAGACCAGCCTGACCAACATGGTTAAGCCCTATCTCTACTAAAAATACAAAATTAACCGGGCGTGGTGGCGTACCCCTGTAATCCCAGCTACTGGGAGGCTGAGGCAGGAGAATCGCTTGAACCCGGGAGGTGGAGCTTACAGTGAGCCGAGATCGCACCATTGCACTCCAGCCTGGGCGACAGAGTGAGACTCTGCCTCAAAAAAAAAAAAAAAAAAAAAGTTCTAGGAAGCAGTCTCTGGCTTCAGTCCCCGTCCTCCTCGGGTTGGGCTAAGTGCTCCTCCCTTGTGCCCTGGCACTCAGGACTTCCCCTAAGTAAGTACACCTGGCACTCATGGCACGGCACTGGCTCCCCGGCGCCCACCCGAGACCGAGTTCTCAGAGGACAGAGGACGTGTTGTACTTGTGCCGGCCTTCCTAGCACCTGGAAGCATGACGGGTTCCCAGTGGATGTTCGGGAAGTTAAATTGTTGTAGGGGTGGTGCTAGAGTACTTACGTTGCCGCTAGACCTACTGGGGGTGAGCGATGAGGGAGTGAAGCGAACAGCGTGTGGACTTGCCGGACTTCTTACCCGTTTGTCTTGTCATCCTCATCCTCACAGCCAGATGAAAACTCGCTGGATTTTTCCTCCTGTATGCTACGGCCTGGGATTAAAAATGCTCAGGAACTTGCCTGTGGAGTATGCCTCTTGAACGTGGACTCGAGGAGCCGGGTAAGCCACGCAGCCTCGTTGCAGGTGGCAGAGGGCTTCCCTAACGTGACTCGGGACGACCTCATCTGGCCCACTTTACTGCGAAGTTTGTGACCAGAGGTGGGGATTTTCTCAAGTCCTAAAAGCTGATGATAGGAGCAGACACATCCCCTCGTGAGGGCAGCGGGGGAGCTGTGGAGGGAGTGGACGCGGCTCTCATGCCTGCAGCACCCTGTACGTAGTGGGGTGGTCAGGAGGAAAGGGTGAACCTGTAAGGATGTGTTTGGAGGCAAGAGGCCCTGTTCTGGGAATGTTGTTGACCTGTGGTTTCAACGTTATTTCAGAAAGAAGAGAAGCCTGCAGAAGAACATCCTAAAAAAGTATGAACCAGTTACACCTTATCTTAGCGTCTCCATTTTAATTTTGAGTGTGGAGGGCAAATTGGATGATTCCATCCATTGCATCCTGAACTGTTCCAGTCGTGAATCCTTCACTGAGTCAGTCTGGTTCCCATAATGTTTGATTGAGTCTACCAATGTGTCTGTGTGGCTCCACTTCTGTCTTATTTGCATGCTTGTTTCTCATAATTGGCTTCTGGTGTTGCAGTTATTTTTCTCTGTGATGAATGGGGTGACAGAACGAGCAACTTCTGGAAGCCTGGAAGGTGTAGTGACACACAGAAGGAGATCAAAGAGCTTATTCAGGATGTAGCCATTTAGCCATATTTTAACAGACAAGCCACAAGTTGGGTTTCAGAGTTTTGTTTATATGCAGTGCATTAGAACACTAACCCCAGGACGCGGCTGAGGTTTGGACTACTTTTCCATGGCTGACTGTAGCTTACCGATAAGCCTGCTCATCTGGAAATACTTCTTATGTGTTTATTGCCCATTCATTTCGAGGCGTTTTTTTTTTTTAACTCTATACCTGTTTGGACTTTCTGATAAAGTAGATTCAGTTATTCGCTCCCAATGCCATTCGACCCTAAGAGTTGTTAACTGCCGTTCTCTGACTCTCTTGTTCTCTAACTCTTGTAATTTTTTGTCATGATAGGCTTGTGGTCAGCTGCAGAAGTGTAAAGGATTGCATGCCGTAGTCAGATGCCAGCCTTAGGAGGAGGGCTTCCTTCAGCACAGTGAGGGATCCAAGCTATCCACAGCCCTCGGCTACTTTAGTTCCCCTTATGATTCCCCCGCTCCGCCCCATAACCTCTGTCTGCCTTTTCCATGGAAGATTTGGCCGCCTTTTCCCGAAACTAGGTTTAGTGGTAACAATTTTATAGCTTTAATTAGCAGTAAAAAACCTTCTCTCTTAAATTCCTGTAGCTACCCACTCAGCTTTTGTGTGTGCCATTTTGGCCTCAGCCTCTGTGACCTGGAGAGATGTACATGTTGGTTTCTGAAAAGCTCTGAGATGCAGAAAAAGCCTGACTTGTCCCACATCTCTGTTTATTTCTGGCAGGCATTCAACTCAGAAACAGACAGTTTCAAGCTGGCCTACGGAGGGCACCAGTATCACGCCAGCTGTGCCAACTTCTGGATCAACTGTGTCGAACCAAAGCCTCCTGGCCTTGTCCTGCCTGACCTGCTCTGAACAACTCCTCTGTGAAGCACTGACTCTTTGTTTTTCTGTGACACCCCACGGGGTGACAGGGACCAATCAGTAGAATGCGAGCGCTGCACAGTTCACTTCCCTGAATTGATATGAAGAACACCGCAAGCGACGGGGCCCCCGTCACCCCCACGGCCAGTCTGCGGGGCTTCAGGTAAAATCTCAAGCGGCACGTGGCGCCAGAAGCTTGCTCACTTCTACTTTTCTTAAGGTTTTCTAAAATACAGACCACAGCTTTCTGGATCTAAGGAAGAACTTGCTGCTGCAGTATTGAAACTGTGAAGAACTGACATTTTTGAAGAAAAATAAACTACTGTTGCGGGACTAGAATGGGCAGCTGCTTGGAGCCAGTGCTTGTTTTTACCCAGAACACTTACTGTCCTGTGAAGTAGAGTGCATTTATTTGCATTTAGTGTGTTAATGTCTGAAATGAATAAAAAGAGGAAATTACGATTAAACTGATGTTCTGCTTTTTATGGAGAAGATTCTGCCCGTCTGCCCTGGACAGTAGCAGGCAGGTGAGGGCAGATTTTACCCACTTGGCTGTCACAACTGAACCAGTTCTCTACTCCTTCCCTTCATTGCTGTCAACGCTCAAGACTTTTTCCCAAAACATGCCTGCAGTCCTGAAGAATGCTCATTTTCACACAGGCCCAAATCCTGTGTATCAGGATAATATCCTTCCCTGCAGGAGCCTTCACTGCAAACCTGTTTTGCCGCATGCAAAGACTGTGACCCTGGAGTTTTCTCAGACAAGATTTGTAAAGGCAGTGGAATGAAATCTCTTGGCAGTGGCCGCTCTCCAAATTTCCAAAGATGACTACATAGGGACCAACACTGCCTGACTTCGCAGTATCTGTGAGAAAAACCTGAAAATTAATTCAGGGTGAAAATGTGGAGTTCTTGGCCTAGTGTAAAGTATCAAGATGTATATTTATGGGATAGATACATGACTTAGAAGAAAATTGTCCAGAAATAGTACTGAGTTTTAGATGGAAAAGACTCGTGCTTCCTGGAGTAGGGAATTTTCTTTGCCATTTAATCTGAATGCATAAAATTAGGGGGAAAAACTCAAGTGGCTAAGAGCTGTTATTCCTAGGAAGAACGTACCAATCTAGGGCACACGTCTCTCTGAATTGTTGATTATGCGCTTTATGAAGAGATTTTTCAATCTCATGTGCTTTACTTTGTGCGGTTTAGGCCCTCCGACCTAGACTTTTATTTTTAAACCGACAAAGTTGGTCTTGTCTATAATTGCTGCTTTTACATAATTTATTTTCCCTTCTCAGAACAAATTCTATCTTGGTCCGTCTTATAGCTTTTCCATGTTCTCCAAGAAAGGTGTGGAACATTTTCATTAAACAGCTGTTGCTGAGGCTCCTGCTTGACCTTCTGCACGCCCGAATGCAGAGAGAGGCACCGAGGAGAGAAAGGCTTTTCTCACTCGCTCCCGATGATACCGTCTCTGGCCATTCCTGACTGAGACAGCTCACTCTGAATTGGTACCTTTGGGGCTTTTGCCCACCACAAGGCTAATGGGGTGTTTCTAACAACACAGGTGGGACAGCTTGTGGCAGGCTTTTCCTGAGGCCTCGGTGCTTTCATCCTGGGCAGCACCAGGTCCACATGGAGCTGGAATGCAAGCAGGCTTCTAATTGGTCTTAAAAATTTTTTTTTTTTGAGACGGAGTTTCACTCTCGTTACCCAGGCTGGAGTGCAATAGCACAACCTCAGCTCACTGCAACCTCTGCCTCCCGAGTTCAAGCGATTCTCCTACCTCAGCCCCACGAGTAGCTGGGATTACAGACATGCGCCACCACACCCGGCTAATTTTGTATTTTTAGTAGACACAGGGTTTCTCCATGTTGGTCACGCTCGAACTCCCAACCTCAGGTGATCCGCCTGCCTCAGCCTCCCAAAGTACTGGGATTACATGCATGAGCCACCGCGCCTGGCCTAAATTTCATAACAGAACCATGACAGCAGAATCTACCTTTGCAATAAGAATGTTTCCCAGGAGTTAGAGACCAGCCCTGGGCAAGATGGCAAGACCCCAGCTAATTATACAAAAAATAATTAGCCAGGCATGGTGGAGCACATCTGTGGACATTTGTGGTCCCAGCTACTAGGGAGGCTGAGGCAGGAGGATCACATGAGTCCAGGAGTCTGACAGTGACTGTTAAAAATTTATTTCTTTTTTACAACAGCCTAGGTGATAAGAGAGAGACTGTGTCTCTTAAAAAAAAAAAATAGTAAGTTTCCCAATTTGAAATGTTGCTGAGACATTTTTTTTGAAATGCTGTGTAGATGCCTATCATGTCACAGTGGCCCAGTATCGACATTTTAAAAAGTAAGCTTGTTAGCTGGGCTGGTTTCTATTCCTGAGAAATTCCAGAATGCCTCAGATACAATTCCTTAGTATAATTCCCACTTTCCTTACCAAGAGCGATAGGCTTAGTCACTCCGTGGGAGGTGCCACAGGAAAATTCAGCAGACGTCAACAGAAAAAAAGCCTTTGCTATGAAAAGTATTCACTACCTTTCATATCTCTTGAATACTTGAAATGTTTAATTAGATGCCACCAATAGGGATCCAAGGAGTGTGGGACACCGTTGCGCTGCTTTTCTTTATAAACATTTATTATAATGACTCAACACTGCATTCAGCTTCACCTCAGCTCTTCCTGTTAGCCAGGAGCCCCGTGTCCTTGGAAACCGTAACCAAGGTTACTTATTTCCATACTGTGTATTGTGTCAGCCCGCTTCACCCCACTGCTTGAATGGCGATTAATAGCACTTTTCTTTTTTTGGTGGGATGTTTTGCCTTTAAAATTTTTATGGCTTAGTGTATAATTTCATTTTTGTCTGGACATGCTTGAGATAGAAGAGGTATTGGATATATTAGGATATTTTCCATGCTTTATTTTTCCTAGTTAGCATTTCATAGGGGTTGTGAATTTTTAATTATTTGAATATTTTGTGTACATACACATATTTGAAGGGTTTTGGGGGTCTTATTTGTTTAAAGGTGTCTTCTGTTTGCCTGTTTAATGTGTACTTCAGCTTTGCAAAGATTATAGGGCTGTATGTTTCAGAAATAGGAGATGCTGGCCCTGTACTGGGGACCACTACAAAAATTCCCCTGAACACCTTCGAGGTCAAATGCCTGCCTTTGTGAACAGTTCATAAACTGACATTTTCAGACATCTGCCATTCAGAAGGGAGCACTGTAGCCTGCTGTAGACCATTCCAGCAAATGTCAGAATGCAGGGCAAGATGTGTGTCGACTGTGTTTTTTAAGTTTAAATTACTTATTTCTTCAGGTGAGTGTGCACGAAATAACAATACTGAAAGGCCCGCCCCTTGCAAGGCCGAGGAAATAAAGCTTAAGTGAAACAGCTCTTGGGGGGAAAAATGCCACTTTACGAATACTTTTCTAACAAAATAGCATTATAATGAAGTTTTTACTTAATTCCATTATTTATATGTTGATGTGAATATAAGTGGTTAAAAAAGTATTCTTGTGGGACATCTCATTACTTTGTAGCTGTGGCGTTATTAACCAGTGAATGCTGTGGTCCGTAGCAAAATGCGTTGTCTTCTGTGTGATGTGGAATTCAGGCCTGTAATTTTAAAAGATGGTGTGGTTTTTCCCTTGTTCGTATTTTAATAAACAACTGCTCTAATTGATATGTTTAGGTATTATAAAGCTTTACCTTTAAAATATTTTCAGGGTCTGTTCTGAAATCACCCACTGTTAAACTTCCCTCACCAAAATACAAGTGTAGAAGAATGTCAGGCTACTAAACCTTTTCTTGGTCTGGTCTTTGTTGGGTTGATTTCACGTAGATGCAAGTCACGAGGATGAACAGGGGCCCATGCACTTAAGATTACAAAGGTGTTCAGCTTCCTGTGTGCAAAGAACTCTTAGTCACAGCCCCGCAGTGCTGCTTGCCAGGAATTCTACAGGTGATTTTCATTAATTATGAAGAACCTCGGTCACCAGGTGTCTTCTTGCCCTAGGACAATGGTTATTTGGGGGCTCTTATTCAGAAACTCCCAGACTCAAAGCTCAGCCTCATACTAAAGCAGCCAGAGCCTCCCTGGATTATTTATTTGTTTGTTTGTTTGTTTGTTTTTGATCTTACAGCATTTGTTGGTTCCTCTGATTTCTCATAGAAACTATTAATTTTTTTCCTTTTAATTTTTCTAGAGAATAATGATGCATGTTTATAACAGTGGGCAGCCAGGGGTATAAAGCAATAAAAGGTAGAACTTAGATGGAAAAAACCATTGCCACAACCCAGGTAAAATGTTTTGTGGATATTTGTCTAAGTATGTAGCTACTGGCCTATGTATGGCTTCCTGCCAAAACGGACCCAAAAAATCTAGAAAACGAGTCCTCTGGTGCGCAAGCTACAACGTCCCTGACAAATGAGGCCAAAGAGCAGGGCTGCGACCGGTTCCCATCGCACGGGCAGACTCCCAGGAGGCCCTCCATCCAGAAGGCAGGCACACCCTAGGACAGTGGTTATTTGGGGGCATGTGGAAAGCTTTCGCCCAGTTGTGTCCCAGGAGTGGGACAGAGGCGAGCTCATTCACCTTCTACCGTGTACTTGATGAGCGGTGCCGCCCATTTTATCAGGAGCAGTGACCTGGGTGACATTTCCAAAGTTAAAGGCAGCCATTTTTTGTTATTTGCTTATCGCTTATACTGAGGTTTGGTTTAGGGCATTTTCGTAGGTAGTAATAGTTGAGCAGAGGCACCTTTTATTGAAAACCAGTTTATCTGATGGAGGACATGTTGCTTTGGGGTGCTCCACTAACGAAGAGGAAACCAAAACCAGCACCCCTGATCAGAGCGTGCACTCTTATCTCCCACCGCCCAGCACTGGGGACAGTGTGTCTGCCACCCACCAGGATGTGATGCGCCGACGGGACTCTGCTGGGATGTGTATTTTAAGTGGTGTTCACAACTGTCATAAGAGCCATATTTTAGCAGTTACTGGAGAGCACCTTTTTTTCCATCATCGACACACACACATATCCTGAAATTATTAGTAAAAATTCTAATGTTAAGCATATAGATTTATTAAAAATAATGCTAATATAATCCTGGGCACATGGATTCCAAGAGTTTTTGCAGCAGATTTCATTATAGTTACTTAACAGCTAAATAATAAGGGTGTATTTAACTTACAGAGTCACTAAATAATAGAGGGGAAAGGAAAGAGTAGGGCTAATCCAGTAGAGACTGAAGCTGGTATCAACCTTCCCTAAGCATCTGTCTGGTCAGCAGCCTGGGGCGAAGCTTGTCTCTAAAGGGTTAATGAGGCCCCAAAGTGATTTTTGCACTGAGCTCCTCCTGCACCTACCAAGGTGCCAAAGGCATGAGATTCAGAAGAGAGCAGAACCAAACAGTTTATTAAACTGTTCAAATTGATAAAAATGATTAAAAGCTAAAGATTTTCATAAACACTATTCCAAAATGTTAATTTTAAAAATGTGACTAGCAATGTATGCATTCCCTTTATGTCCCCTCCCTCCCTCTCTCTTAAAATAAATTTGAACACCCAGTGTAAAAAACACTTGAGGGAGAACCAGAAGTCAGCCATTTGAGAAGACAGTGGAGAGGGAGCAGACGGCGGGGAGCAGACACCGGTCCCACTCGGGCTGCTGACGCAGGCTTCGGTGGCACTAAATCCCCCAGTAAGGCATCAGGTGTCGGGACTCCTTCTCATAGACGTCGGGAACTATGCCGTAAGGTGTCTGTACCATTTTAACTGTCGACTTCCCAAAGAGCTGGCGCTCGTAGTCTATCAGCTGCCTCCAGAAGCCTACGTTGGGCCTGATGACAGGTCGCCGGGCTTTCACCCAGTTGTACGCCTCCAGCAGGCACACGTTGTGGAATTTCATCAGGTAGGCGATACAGAGCGTGGCTGAGCGGCTCACCCCGGCAGCACAGTGCACCAGGGTGGCCCCGTGCTTCCTGCTCACACTGTGGATCTTGTCAGCCACGGTGTCAAAGTACAGTCCAATGGGGGCGTGCGGCATGTCAGCCAGAGGCACTTTAACATACTCAAATTGGGGCCAGTTGAAATTAGGGATCTCAATGGTAGCATTAACAATGCAGGTGATGCCACGAGCCTGGAGGAGGTGCCGATTGGAGGCCACACTGCCTCTGCCCAGGAATAGAGAGGAGGTGATTTGAGCAATGCCTCCTAAGTCTCCCTCGGAAATCATCCGAGGGGCCATGAGAGTCCTTGGTAGCGTGCTGTGACCTCTGGAGCTCATGAAGACGCCAGCAGTCACACTTGCATCGTTGGGGGCAAGACCAGAGTGTTTGATTTTCCTCCACCAAGGAATCCAAAATCACAGTCTCCTTCCTGCAAAATACGGGTATGTGTCAGTACTTTAAATGCTACTGATTCATCACAGCCTTCTGTCACGTTTGTCACATGGGAAGATTAGAGCTTTTTTATAATACAGTACAATCTTTCACGGATACAGGCAAATCGTTTTCTATCAATTAACAGGAAAAGTCACCTAGGACACAAACATGTAAAATCAATGTAAAATCCAGCTCTCTGGTGACTGTCCAAAAAAAATATATATATATATATGTGGGTGGGAGCTGGGCATGTTGGCTCATGCCTGTAATCCCAGCACTTTGGGAGGCTGAGGTGGGAGGACTGCTTAAGCCCAGGAGTTCAAGACCCACCTAGGCAACACAGTGAGACCCCATCTCTCCAAAAAAAAAAAAAAAAAAACACCTTTTTTTTTTTAATTAGCTGGGTGTGGTAGTGCATGCCTGTAGTCCCAGCTACTCAGGAGACTGAGGTGGGCAGATCTCTTGAGCCCGGGAGGTCAAGGCTGCACCACCACACTGCAACCTAGGCAACAGGGAGACCCAGTCTCAAACAAAAAAAAAAAAAAGAAAAAAGAAAAAAGGCCAGGCGAGGTAGCTCATGCCTGTAATCCCAGCACTTGGGAGGCTGAGGCAGATGGATCACCTGAGGGCAGGAGTTCGAGACCAGCCTGGCCAACATTGGGAAACCCGTCTCTACCAAAAATACAAAAATTAGCTGGGCATGGTGACAGGCGCCTGTAATCCCAGCTACTCGGGAGGCTGAGGGAAGAGACTCGCTTGAGCCCGGGAGGCGGAGGTTGCAGCTAGCTGAGATCGCGCCACTGCACTCCAGCCTGGGTGACAGCGAGACTCTGTCTCAAAACAAAAACAAAAGAAACCCAAACCAAAAACTATTTCCTATCATTCTGTGACAATGTAAACACGGTGACATTTCCATGGAAATAATCCCAGGCAATTTGAAGGCCATGGTCTTCAAAGTTCGTTTCTGTAAGTTAAATGAGCATTTCACCTGACCTGACCTTGCGTGTGGCTAAATAACTTCACCTTCCTCTGCCATTTAATTCTGAGCTCCACGATGAATCCCACTGGCTTTTAACGTCTGAACATCGCTATCCTCCCGTTATTCCAGTGTTTGCTATTAAATGTCAATATATGTATTAGTAAGAGCAGAAAAGGAAGTTCTCAGTTTCCTGAGATTTTAGATACAGCTGTTCCTCTCACCAAAAAAAAAAAAACACAATGCTTTATCACCTGTGCCGAGTGGCAGGTGCGCCTGCCCACACCCAGGGGACTGTCGGGAAGCCTGCAGGGATTTCAGTCAGACGACAGCCTCCCCGGGTGCAACGGGCAGAGCGTGCTGGGCTACTCACTTCCTCAGGAGTCCAGTGTGCGCTGCAGCTGGGTCTGGATCCAGAAAGTCCTAAGTGAGCAGTACTGGTGACAGTGGACACAAATCAGATCTGCGGGAAGACAAGGAGGCAAGGACAAAGCCAGTCAGGAAGTTCCAAAGAAGTCCTCGCAGGCTTTCACTACGACCTCGGGTTTGATGGAATAGAGCCAGGATGCGGAGGAAGGTGCACTGAACATTTCCAGGTGTGCATTTAAAGGGTGCACCAGTAAGAAACACCAGCCTAAGTCTCAGCTTTTTTGTTAATGACACATAACCCGCGGTATGACAAATAGAGTTTTGGCAATAACACAAGACAAATCTCTTGCGAGGAGGAGATTCAGAGACCACAACCTATCCGCGAAATGTCCGGCACGCTGAGGACACAACACGGACTGGAGTCTGTTCCGTGCACCATCAGCCAGCCTGGCAGCAGGAAGACCTGGGCGGCACCGCGGGGGGAGAACGGACAGGTCGGGTGCCGCCAGGGTGAGCCAAGCAGCCCCGTGCCTGAACACAAGGTGCAGGACGGTGTGCACCAGGAAGCTAAGGACAGGCGCGGCCAGGACATGGCAGTGAGGTTGGCTTCATGAGGAGCAGGACCGCAGATGTGGCTGCAGTCAGGAACGCTAACTAGTAGGCGGTGCTGGTGTTCAGGATGGCAATTTGACATTTTCCTTCATTTGGTTTTCTTTTCCATGTTGGCCCTATTTTATTCATTTATGTTATATAAATATCATGAAGGTCATAAAAAATGTGTTCTTCTACCACCTGTTCTCCTGCCTTTCCCAGGTAACTGTCAGACCTGTTGTGGTTTTTTTTTTACAGCTCTGTTGAGGTGTACTTGACATATAAACTGCTATACAACTTGAAAAAGTACATAACCTGATGAGTTTTGACATATGTACACAATGGAGACACCAGGACATAATAATAACACACATCCATCATTCTCCGCTCAAATGTCCGCATGTTTTTTAATAATCCAACCCTTTTCTTTGCGCTTTTACCCATTCGCAGCAACCCTGATCCTTTTTGTTCCCTATGGTTTGCAGCTCTAGACTTTATATCAATGGCCTTGTTCTATATTTATCCTATATAAATACATCCAGGTAAACCCAAGCGTGGTGGTCTCACACCCTGTAATCCGCAACACTTTGGAGCGCTGAGGTGGAGGCCAGGATGTCGAGACGAGGCCTGGCCAATGTGGAGAAACTAGGTCTCTACTAAATACCAAAATTATCCGGGCCCATGTGGCCACAGCACCCTGGTATCCGCGTACTCGGGTGGCTGAGGCCAGGGAATCACTAGCCAGCCCAGGAGGGGGCCGGAGTTGCAAGTGAGCCGAAACTGCACCAATGTACTACAGCCTGGACAACAGAGGCAAGGACTTCCATGTCATCAAATAAATCAACATACACAACCACATAATATAATAATTATAATATTATGACTATACTACACGATCATAATATATAGCAACATCACAGTATATATACGGGAGGTTTTTTGGGTCTGGCTTCTTTCACTCAGCATAACTTAGACATTCACCCATGACAGTGGGTTATCAACAGTTCACTTCTTACTGCTGACAGTACTCTGCTGTGTAGAAACACCACAATTTGCTTATCCATTCACCTACTCATGAACCTGGGTTGTCTCTAGTTTAAAGCTATTGTGAGTACAGCTGCTATGAGCATCCACGTGCAGGTCTTTGTGCAGACATATGCTCTCCTCTCTCGGTTCAACACCCAGGAGTGAAGGTCTGGCGCCCAGGTCTTCCCGCTGCCGGGCTGGCTGATGGTGCACGAAGAGACTCGAGTCCGTGCTGTGTCCTCACAGTGCCGGACATTTCGCGGATAGGTTGTGGTCTCACGTATGTTCAACATTTTAAAATCGTTTTTAAAAAGAAACGTAAAAAATTACATATATATATATATTTTTTTTTTTTTGACGGAGTCTGGCTCTGTCACCCAGGCTGGAGTGCAGTGGTGCAATCTCAGCTCACTGCAACCTCCACCTCCCGGGTTGAAGAGATTCTCCTGCCTCAGCCTCCTGAGTAGCTGGGATTACAGACGTGCACCACCATGCACAGCTGTTTTTTGTACTTTTAGTAGAGACAGAGTTTTGCCGTGTTGGCCAGGCTGGTCTCGATCTCCTGAGCTCAAGTGATCCACCTACCTTGGCCTCCCAAAGTGCTGGGATTACAGGCATGAGCCACTGTGCCTGGCTCCATTTACAACTATTTCTATCATGATAATGCAGGGGCTCTCAAACCTGAGCATGCCTCAGAATCCCCCAGAGGGCTGTGCGCACAGACTGCTGGACCCTTCCCCAGCTTCTGATTCCATCCCTCTAGAGTGGGGCTGGAAGAGCTGCCCGTCGGAGGTGAGGCTGCGGGTCGGGGGCACGCTCGAGAACTACTGCAGAGGTGAGTGCTGTGGCTCTGTCCACACTTCCCCGGAAAGACTGAGGCACCAAGCATGCTGGTGCTAACAGCTCACAAGTCCCTCCTGGACACTGCCCTTCTCTGAAGGGAGCTGCCTCCTCACCCGAGACTAGGCCCTGCTTTGGGAGCCCACATGCCGTGACTGGTTAATGCTACGAGAGTACACAGAACAGTCCCCAGGTGAAATCACAGCCTGGGGAGGAACGAGGACACAGTCCCATAAGGAAACTGCGCGCATGTGCGCTGGATGTAAAATACGAACAGGGCAGAAACTCTGAGAACATCCTTCCTACAGCACAGCAGGGTCTCCTGCCACTTCCCAGTCTTCCCTGGCAGAATCCTACTGGTTTAAAAAGCAAAGTCACTGTGGTAATAAACACAAAATTAGGCCTTCAGGCTGCTGGGGATGACGTTCCTCATTGTGGAAAATCTGGAAGATGCTAATCAAATTTCCAAGTAGGTTATCTAGTCATTGTCTAATGAAGAGAGGCTTGGCTGTGGACGTGGTGGCTCACGCCTATAACTCTAGCACTTTGGGAGGCCAAGGCGGGCAGATCACCTGAGACCAGCCTGGGCAACATGGTGAAACCCCGTTTCTACTAAAAATACAAAAATTAGCCAGGCATAGTGGCACATGCCTATAATCCCAGCTACTAGGGAGGCTGAGCCAAGAGATTCGCTTGAACCCCGGAGGCAGAGACTGCAGTGAGCCGAGATCGCGCCACTGCACTCCAGCCTGGGTGGCAGAGTGATGCATCCTCCCAAATTATGCTGTCTAGGAAGCCACTTGCCTTCCTGAGGCAAAGGAGCCCAGGTTCCCTGTGAAAGCCGGGCTGATTCTGTTAACTCACGTTTCCTGAGTGGTGCTAGGGTACTTGGTGCTGTAGGGAAAACAGATTGTGAGCCCTCGGGGCAGAATCCAAGTGAGACAGACACGTTGCTCCCTCCCTGCTGCTAGTCCATCTCTCTGCCAACAAACCTGCTTAAAATGCCAAAGCTGGTCCCAAGTTTCAGGAAAACAACTTCCGCCAGAGGGCATGCAGAGGGCACAGACGCTATAGATGCTCCTCTGACAAACACTCCTGAACCCTCGACAGGTTGGAAACTACACGGTTCAGAAAGGGTAAGAGATTTCAACTTGAGAAGTGAAACTAGGAGAAGATGCAAGGTGTCCGGATTTCTAGCTCAAGTCCACACACTGCTTCTCTGCGGTGACTGCGTCGTGGCTGTGTTCTCATTACCTGCCTGCGGCACTCCACACCTCCAGCCAGCGCCTGCCACACACGCAAGGGGGTGTGGATCTGCCTCAGAAGGTGTTTCCATGCTACTTACAGAAAGGCTAAGCCCAGATGGGCTGAGCTGCTCGTTTGCCCTAGTGCCAAAACAGGCAACTACTGCCACATCCTGGTGCACCATTTGGTGCACAAAATGTCCCCCTGGCCACAGAGGGTGGACCTCAGCAAGGAGCAGCCCCACAGTAGGCGCTACAAGAAGCCCTAGAGTCATCCAGTTCTAAGATCAGTAGAACCAGATGGTAAAAAAATAAAAAACCCATGGGTACGACATCACAGGTGCATGGAAATCTCCTCAGTAAATGTGTCCTAGAAGACAGGGAAAGGAGATACGGTGGCAGACTCTGACCCGTAGTTGAAGGGATCACAGATTGCATGGCGCTCTCAGAGTGAACAAGCCATCTTCCTGCAGGGCAACGGTCTCTGGGACGAAGATGACCAGGAAGAATGCTTAAGAATGACCACATCACTGTCTACCGTGTTCAACTTGGCCTTCCCAAGATGCTCTGGTAGTGGCGCTGCTTCTTGGAGGAAAAACATGTTTTCGTGGCTGGGGGGAGGGGGCAGGGTAGAGTGAAATACAGAAAGGAAGAGCTGTCCTAAACCAACCCCAGCGGTTTTTTGGTTTCTTTTTGGCGGGGGGGGGCGGGAGAGATGGAGTCTCACTCTGTCACCCAGACTACGGTGCAATGGAGCGGTCTCTGCTCACTGCAACCTAGGCCTCCTGAGTTCAAATGATCCTCCTGCCTCAGCCTCCTGGGTAGCTGGGCTTATAGGTGCGTGCCACCATGCCCAGCTAATTTTTTGTATTTTTTAGTTTTGCCATGTTGCCCAGACTGGTCTTGAACTCCTGACCTCAGGGTGATCCGCTCACCTCAGCCTCCCAAAGTGCTAGGATTACAGGCTTGAGCCACTGCGCCCGGCCTGGTTTGTTCTTAACCAGCTATAAGCAATGTCTTCTTGGAGATGATGCTGGTCTTTCTGGATAATAAGCATCGAACACTAAGTACTGAACAAAATAAAAGATGAGTGTCTTCCCAGCAGGCCTCTAATCTCAGTAATGCATACACTAATATTAATAACACTTGATTGCTCCCTGCACTGCAGAGCTCCTGAGATGTGGGCATCAGCCTTGTAGCCTTGTGGTCAGCACTGGCATCCGTACCTGGAGCGGTGGTACCTGATACTCAGAATTGCGACATGGGGTCACGGCCTAATCAGAGAAAGCATCCATCCTAGTGCCATGGAGGTTACTTTTCTTTTTTTTTTTAAATGATGACAACCACCAGAATCAGCAGTTAACTGAAATTCTATCTACGGCTTTTCTTTTCA